GTTTGAAGGTTTAGGGTTTAGGGTGGTTAAGGGGGCTCATAAGCCAAACACAGTGTCCAAAGAACGCAACAACTAGGCACTTAAGTTTCGGATAGTAGTTATGTAGCTTATGGTTTGGGCGAGTATGTGATTAATGATTAGATTAGGTATTTAGACTCTTAGGGTAAGCCAAACACACTTAACACTTTCAATTTTGAGGGTTTAAGGGTGTCACAGTTTTCTAGTCAAACAGTTTTTGCGGGAGTAGGGGGGCGTGTTATGTTGTCCCACAAAAAAGTTGCAGTTGACGACGTTCGCTGCTAAGTTGCTGGCAAGCGCTGATGGCGGTACTGAAGCTGTACCTTGCTTGCTGCTCCGGATGAGTTCGGATCAAACAACGGAGCTGGCTGGGTGTGGGCAGTAGGAGTGACGATGTGGGATACATAAGCAGGGTTTGATATTTAGATAGTAGCGATTTGAAGACTCAGCCCGGAATGCCTAAACCCTAAACCTAGCCAAGAAAAATCTTCTTATTAAGCCTTGTACAAAACCAACAAAGAGAAAGGCCCTTTGTAAACACCGCAAAACCTATGCTCAGCACTCGAGCTTCACATCTGGATGCATCTGGCGCACGGGCATCAAGGATAACATCGCCAGTGCTGTGGCCCATGCCTTGCCCTTCCTCGCTGGAAGTCTATAGCTTATGGGAGTTCGGATTAGGGGACCTTTTGGGGATATATAGACCCTCTCAATAAGGTCCCTTGTAGGCGTTAGGATATGGGGGGGGGACCTTTGGGGGGGACGTAGACCCTAGCTCCCTTTCAGAAGTTAGGATATGGGGGACCTTTTGGGGGACATGGACCGTCTCAACAAGGTCCCTTTCTCGGTAGAAGGACCCTAAACCCTAAGCACTAAGGGGTCTCCCTAATGTAACCTTGGAGTTGAGGGTTTAGGACCTGTTTAGGATGTACTGAACCCTGGCAGTCTTCCGATAGGGCTTGGAAACATGTTCGGGTTTAGGGTTTAGGGGTTAGGGTTTAGGGTTTAGAGTTTAGGGTTTTGAGGATTTAGGGTTTAGGGCTTTTTGGGTGTAGGGTTTAGAGTTTAGGGGCCATTCTTGATAGATTAGGGTTAGGGGGGGGGACTTATCTTGTATCGTCGACACATAAGAAGGAAATCTGAGACCTACTAGTATATAATTCCAGCCACTTTACCAAAAACTACCCTCCCCCAACCCCACCCCACCATAAACGCCTCTAGCGCCCTTAAGCTGTAAGGGAGCGCTATGCCTCTAAACCCTAAAGCCTAAACTGTAAGAAGCCCCAGCATCTCGCAGGCAGAGATGGCGGCATTGTAGGCAATGAGGCTTGCAGCGATGCGGCCCGAAAGCATGCTGGAGAACAGAGTCCTTACTTGAGTTTAGGGTTTAGGGTTTAGGGTTTAGGGTTGAGGGCATTCAGTGAAGGTTTACATCACTTACCCGAATGCTCTAAGGACTCATAGCTTAAGGCTTTTGGGCTCAAAGAACATACTAGACAAGGCTGTTGGGCTATATTGAGCCTTAGGGTAGGACTTAATAAGGTGTAGGGCATAGGCATAGGATTGCTTGCGTGAAGGGCGGCGGGAGGGGGGGATGGGGTCAGGCGTCAGAGGATGTTAAGTTGCGTTGGGAAAAATGTGTCTTGGTCTCCATAAAGTGTTTGCCGGGCTTGACAAGGCCTTCAGAGGAGTTTAGGGTTTAGGGTCTTTTACTGAGTCTTTAGGATCCGGGATTGGCAGGCTTTGGGTTTAGAGGTTAGAGGTTAGGCGGCTCATTGGCGTAGGGTTCTGGGTACCGTTTGTCCGTGGCTGTGTTACCCTGAGGGGTCTATGTACCCGAACGGCATATACTTGGGCCATCTTTGACCTTGCTATAATCCCTACAGCTGGTGATATAAATCCTGCAGTACCTTAAGGACCCTAAACTATGGGAATTATTGTATATTCCTTATTATGGGTACTGCAAGATTTCTATCCTCAACCGTATTTGGGTACTTTGTGGCCAAGGTATATTCCGTTTGGGCACATGGACCTTGTACCCTGACCCTAAACCCTAAACCCTAAACCCTAAACCCATAAACCCTAAACCCTAAACCCCTAAACCCTAAACCCTAAACCCCCTGAACCGTTATGGTACAATTAAAGGAATCCCTTAAAGGAACCTTTAACGCGAGGGTTTAGGGTGTAGGGTTTAAGGTACTGTCCTCAAGGCTTTCTGTGGGTTTGGAGGATCTTCGGCTTCGGGGCTTTGGGACTTAGGGCTTAGGGGTTTAGGGTTTAGGGGCTTAGGGTTTAGGGGTTTAGGGTTTAGGGGCTTAGGGTTTAGGGGTTTAGGGTTTAGGTTTAGGGGGTTTGGGTTTAAGGGTTTAGGGTTTAGGGGTTTAGAGGTTTAGGGGGTTTTGGGTCTAGGGTTTAGCCAAGGCACATGGACCTTCAGGGTTACTAATTCGCGACTACTCTTGGAGATCCCGCCGTATTTTCCAGTTACAACCTACCCCAAGATTCCAAAGGACCCAAGAAGTTGCTTGAGTTTAGGGTTTAGGGTCTACGGGTTTTTGTTCTTGTAAGGTATATCTGTACGGTTATAGAATGGCCTTATGGGGATGTTACGGCCCAAAGGACCCATGAATCAGGTACTTAGGTTTCGGATCGTAGATATGGAGGCTGCTCTTTGGGAGAGTCTCTGATTATTAGGTACAAGTCACCCTTGCGTCCTCCTTTGGATGACCCCTTAGCTTAGTGGTTCGGATCCCAAACAGGCTTAGGGACTACCACAGGAAGGTACTACATTTTAGGGCCTGCGTACTTACTACTTTGGGTTCAATTAGGATTTCAGTTTTGCGCCGCGAGTTACTTGTCCAGGTTTAAAATTTGGGCCTAAGTATTGCTGATTACTGGTTGCTGTGGTGAAGGGCACACGCCTTCACGTTTAGTATTTAGGGCTGAGGGCTTCGCGGCACAAAAAAGGTAAATAGTACAACTCAACTGCTGAGAGTCAGAGACATCTGCCATCGGCTTGTCTTGGTGCATGCGCTCCTGGGGTATTGCGAGGACACTGACAAGCACAAGAGCCCAAAGCCTTATACTTCAGACCAAAAAATGTTCCCCTAAGGGTCCATGTACCCAAATATTATATACTTTGGCCTTAAAGTAGTCCCTATATAGGTACTTTGGGGCCAGTGTATATACTATATGGGTACACAGAACCTTAGGGTTCTGCAAGAACAATCACGGCACATGACAACAGTGCAGTGAAGAGCGCCGCATTGAAGAGTTGATCGCGGCATTTCTGACAAGAGCTGTAGGGCGCTCTTCCACTGCCATGCTTTGCCAGAAGCTACCAAAGATCTGTCGTAGCCAAAAGCCTGGTCACTTGGGGCTTGGGACTTCAGGTATATAAGTTTTAAGCCTGATAAAGCCCTTAACCTTTTGATACTTCTTGCCTCCTGCACACAGCAGGTGGCTGCAGACAAAGCCCCCATGGCTCACTGGAACGCAGGCGAAATATGCGGGCCTTGGTGATTAGAAAAAGGCTGCGGGGTACATTTTGCTATGATTATACAGGGTCTGCGGAGGCAGGCAATGTTTGAAACTGGGATGATGGCACGTCTTCATCCGCAGAAACTCCATTCTGTGCCAGAGCCTAGAAGCACACAGACGCTGTGCTCAACGCTGACTCAACTGTCAACTGAAATGACATTGGGTTTCAACAGAAAGAACTGGCAGCAGCAGCTACAAACGACAGTGGTTGTGCTAGTGCTGCTCGTGGTAGTAGTGGATCAAGTGTGTCATCACACTGTACACCGTGATGCTGGTAATCGCCAGAACCAAGATCATCATCATAAGCGATGCGACAGGACACCAACGTTCGTCACATCGTCCACATTGTCATCATCAGTCTCAGCAAGGGAACGGCCATGATAATGCTCATCATGACCATCACCGGCAACCATCATCGACAAACCTTCTGCTGGTACCCCCCCCCCCAGTGACGCCAGTGCTATGGCATCTTCAATTTCTCAGCTCTCACGAATGCAACAGCAGCATCAGCATAAGCACCGTTCCAGGCATCGACAACGCATAGCTCATAGATTCCCTTCGTGTTCCGAATCCACACATCACTTACGACTGAAAGACTCAACGCCCAAGTCTTGTAAACCATGAAGCCGAGGGGACTTAAACTAAACACGACGAGTAGCAAGAGCCGAAACCCTAAACCCTAAACCCTAAACTCTAAACCCTAAACCCTGAACCCTAAACCCTAAACCCTAAAGAGCCCAATGAAGGCTCTGTAAAAGCCATGTGAGGATGCTATACGGACCCTTTCGGAACCCGAACAGGACGTTTCTAGAACCCTTATATAAACCGTTTCAGGATTTTAGGGTTTAGGGATGAGGGTTTAGGGTTTAGGGCTTAGGGAGCCTTTAAAAACCCTCCTTGCAAAGAAACATCGAAGCAACCACAAAGCCTGCACCCTAAACCTTAAGCCCTCCTTCCTGTCATGTGGAACGCTTTCCGAAAGGTTAACTTTGTAGATCCTGGTTTGGGGTTTGAGGTTTAGGTTTTAGGGCTTAGGGTAATCAAAACCTCAAAGGAAGCCGACGAGCCAAGACCCCAAGTACTAAGGTCCTGCCTACATCACAAACAGCCCTCCGTTACCCTACTAGAGCCATGAAACCTCGCAGAGCTTTAACTCCTACAAGCCCTACTCCCTAAAGCGACGTCCTAAAACCCAACACCCTAGACCGTAATAC